CCCCAAAACCCCAAAACCCCAAAACCCCTCTGGCTTAATATAATATTGAAAGCGTTCCTCAAAATTTGGTAACTTAAAATATGGCTCATTTGCAACCACTGTTTTTGTCAGCTTTAGGAGCTTGCTTCCTTTTAGGGCCTTCAACTACATCCACTGGTTCTGTAACAAACTTTACTGGGTGTGAAGGAGCTAAACTCATCCCAACTTCTTTTTGTCTCACCTTCTTGACTTTTCTTCTTTCTAACTGAACTGGCTCAATTGGTTGATTAATACAGTCTGGATCACATCCGTATTCATCTGAGATAGCAAAAGGAGGCCAAAATTCTGTCAGATTTTCAGCCTCTCCCCCATACTTTTCTTCTAATTGAGAGGGGTGGGCAAGCTCTAAGATTTCTTCGTTGTAACCTCCTTTATTCATAATAATTTTTTCTTTAGTTCTCTTCTCTAAGAAAGGAGAAACTATGGAATAAATAGTTCTGATTCCCCAAGTTACATGTAGTAGGAACATTTTAGCAATTCTACTTTTCATATGGACTTGAGACTCGGTTATAAATTTCTTCAGTGCTTTGACGGGGATTTTTGTAAAAGATAGTCCTCCAAGATCCATGATATCGACCCAGTTTTCTCAGGATCCTCTTTTGAGAATATTCTCGATCATATAATGGCAAACGAACCAGGCCGTATTGAAGACGTCATCTGGGTCGACGCCCTTACCTGCAATAATTTTGGCATTAATCACTAATATTGGTCTAAAATTTTTGTCCCTACCATGGATATAGATGAAGCCCTTGTCTAATAGATTCATATCACCTTCAGAGAGGATGAATGGCTTCATCTCTCCCCTCCATTCAATATGCTTAATGATGTTTTCATAAGTCTTCTTAATGTCGAATGAGTTTCCATTGAGAAACCTTAGAGCTCTCCTCTTTGTGACTCCCTCAGGAAGTTCTTCTCCTTTGTCATAAAAATAGTCAAGAAGTTCTTCATAAGAGTCTTCTTCAAGTTTAGTAAAAGGGCCATCTAGTGGATAAATCATTCTTTCAGGAGCTTTCTTCCCAATGGTAATCATAAGCAACTCTTCAGGAGGAGTGTAATATTCTAACATATGAGGTCTGCTCAGATTCTTATCAACATAGTAGTACCTGTAGTCTACATTTTAAGTCATTTTAGCTGAAAGATAAACAAAAGAAAAAGTGACGACACATTGATATGGTTATTGTAGTCTAGGGAAATTTAATCTAAGTGATTCAGCTGCAAATAATGCTGACTATTGTAAATTGATATAGTCTACTATCTGATATTTCTTTCACTCTGTTACATTTTTGGGCCTACCTTCCTTATCCACTTGGTCTACCATCTCATTTGTAATGCAGGTTTCTTCAATCTTAATATGTTCTAAGTCTCTATCGTAATCAGACATATTATAAGCTAAAGTAAGAATAAATTCTATTTCTCAACACAATTTTTCGCATAAGGGGTTTTGGGGTTTTGGGGTTTTGGGGTTTTGGGGTTTTGGGG